AGCATTTTTTACCCTTTCTTAAATACATTTCCACAGAGGCATCACCAACTTGGCTGAAGAGCTCAGCTTGGGGTGATGGTGGGTTCATTTTGGAGCCAGCTGGAAGCAGCTCTGTACACAGGGCAAAGGCCACCCCCAGAGCACCCCTCCACCCCCCACTGCAACACCTTGCCACTAAACCCAATATGGTGCTGTTTTGTGCGTTTCCACACCAAGAAATCAGACCTTGCTTCTCCCACAAGAGGGGAACTGCTCAATAGCCAAGCTCTGCAAAACTGTCCCTTAAGCTGAGTACAGATGTACTCATTAGACAGAAGTGTGCTAGACTGATCACTTTCGCACGCTGTTCCTCCACTAAGTTAATCCTGAACTAGACAAATCTAAGTTCACTAAACTAAATTCTTATTTCCCTGCAATCAAATGTGTACTACTGTATCTCCAGGTAAATGACTGCAGAGAGTTTGTGTGGGACATTATAAAAAAAGGTCCTCGATCCTTACAGTATTCAATGAAAACCAGAGATTGCCCAAGCCTTCTATCTCCTGTACTCAGTAGAGTTTGTAGTCTTTTGCAGCTTTGGTAAAAGATGGAGGAAGGCATTCCTTTTGTAGGAAAGGAAACGCAGTTTGCACTGTTCCTCTGAGGCCAGAAAATGAATCAGCAGTACAGAGTTAAGAGTTCGGAGCCACATAATAGTATCCAGTTACTTCACTGCCACAGTCCAGCACTTGGAAACTGTCTGTGCCAGACCATATATCCATTAACATGCATGATTATTTCAGGAATAAGTTATTCTGGAAATGACTAGACATGACATCCAAAGCCACCACTGGATTTTATTTATTCATGGACAGCATTCCTTAAAATTGGCACACCAGAAAATATTGCCATCACTGACACATAATTCTTACCTATCTCCATTTTCATAGCGAGTTAAACTACTGAGCTTGAAAACTGTGAAGTGGTAAAATACTATCTTTTCCCTTAGCAAAACAGCAATCCCCATATTTATAAATATCTTAACTGCATATATGACAAGGTAAGGTAGAGAAAGCAGTGATAAACTCTAAACCCCACAAGAATACTTACTAATACGTAACTGAAGTGGTATGTTAATTGCATTAATACCTCCAGTAAAAATTGAGGCATCAAGTCAAAAATATACTTCGTAGTTCGGTTTTAAACTTTTTTTGTTTTTAATTAAAGCAGCTTGTGCCTTTAGTTCAAGTGCTATCTCAGGAAGAAGTACGTTGAAATGATGTAGAGTTACAATTCTAGTCAGTTACAAATGATCATATGTAGTTATCTTCACAGTCAATATTCAGAATTACCAACATTTCCTAAATAGTGAACACCTACCTCTCTACTCACTGTACTGAAAAAACTTCCAGCTCAAAGTCCTATTTTCCTTCCTTTACCCTTCTCTGTAGGGAAGGGATTCAGGACGTTTCCTAGAGCATATTCCAAACGGTCTCAGGAATTTAGACCCTGCCTTTTCCTCTCCCCCTAGACAGAAGAGCTTGTAACCCTATTTCTCCTGACAGAATAGGAAGGTGCAAGAAAGCAGCAACTTCATGGGTTTATGAAAGGAAGGAAATGAAGTAATAATAAATTACACACATACAAAAGCTACCACATTCTTCATTCTAGTCACGAAGAAAGCAACTTTGTTTTGCCTGCAGAACATGAGCAACGCCTGACTCGACAAGATCGAGTAGTTCAGTGAAAATTCCTTTTTTGGTAACTAGAGCGCGTGACAGTGCATTGTTAGTAAGTGCTGCAAAGCAAAAAAGGGTCGGTGCAAGCAAGGAGACAGTAAACATGTTTCACACCTTCAACATGTCACTGCTACCAGCCTTGACTGCAACAGTAACAACGCAGATTAACTGAGCTTATGGACAGAACAATTAAAGCTAAAAATGTAAAGTAGAAAAGCTAGCTGCTTCTCTCCATACCTGCAGGTAAGAGCCTGTGCTTTTAGTTTTTCTGTCTCTTGCTAGATATTGTACACCACTTGTATGTAATTTTCTGAAAGGTAGATAATGCTGAAGTTATTCTTTGCTGTGTACCACATACAGCTGAAGTAAAACCTATGCCTCCTAAGCAATCTGTAAAAAAAAAAAAAAAAAAAAAATCAAACTGGTTCCAACTCAGAGAATGACAAACTCCTCCAGTTGGACCCAAAGCCAAAACTTTATCCCTGGAAAGAAGCTGGTACAGTGGCGTATACCATCCCCCAAATACTAAGCCTGTGGCAAAACCCAGATTCAGAAGCAGTGAAACAGTATCAGACACTTACAACTTCCAAGAGACTTCTCCCATTTTGAGAAAATATCAAAGCTGAGTTACTTTGTTCGGCTGTTTGCGTTTTGAATTAGAGGGAGATGCTCTGAGAGAGAGACTTTGCAGCTCACACGACCTTCAGCAGCTCAAGTTTTAAGTGTTAAGCTGTCAAGGTAGCAGCTGCTTAAAAACATTGCAAATTCATACCAAGTTAGTGTTTTAGATCATGCTAGGTTCTCAGATAGTGCAGCTGGAACCGTAACAACTGCCGCTGGCTATAGAAGGCTGGAATTTGAGATCTGCACAGTTCTGACTTGCAAAAGCTTTTGCCTTACAGATGTTGAAGAGGCAATTCACACAAAGCAATATTGAACTATGCAAGTTGTTTTGGTTTTTTAATGTTGGTGCTCCCACCATTAGCAACATAAATATTCTTAGGAGCGTTACACAAAGTTTGCTTTCAAGAGGTGTGCTTGTTTTAATAGAATAAATGGTCCTTAAGAGCTGAAAGAATTAATGACAATGTCCTTGCACTGCATCAGTTAAATGCAATTCCTTGACAGGGGCAGAAAGACTTTGGTCAACAGTTAGCATGGCAAGAATCATTTGGGGGAGGGGGTGTGTGTGTCAAGGACAACAAAGATGATGTATGAAGCTTCCATTTTAATACAACCTCTTTCTTACTACTCACAGAATAGTTTGTTTTCTTCTGAAGGAAACCTGACAGTACTGCAAGCTACAGGCTTTCTTCCCTGTGAGAAATTAGGAAAAAACCAGTCCTCCCCTTGTCTGAAGCAGTGTGTCCTCCTCCCTCCTCCAGTAAACACTGAGAAGTAGATGGGAAACAACCGAAGTCAGTAAAAAACCCAAGGTTGTTCTTAGCTGTCTACTTATTTGTAACACCATTACTGAAAAGACAGGCAAAGACCTACCGAACTTGTGTTCATCGCTCCCTTTAACACTTGGATTTAGGCTGCTTTTCATCACAACAGTGATTTGAAAGATGCAGCTCCAGCTGGCTAAATCACATCCATAAAGGGAAGGCAAAAATAAGCATAGGAAGGTGAAATTTGCAGATAAAAGCAGAGCAATATTGCCACATATTAGTGACATTTGAAGTGAACAGACCCAGCTGACAGATCAGAATAGACCCCACCAACCATGCTGCTTGGTCATTTCAGTCCACCTGCTCCTCTTTTAGCAGATTAGGTTTTCCTCCAACTGATCAGTGCAGCTGATGCACATAGTTAACGGATTCCTGTCTCGGCAGAGGCATGGCAAGCACTGCGGTGTCCACACTGGTCTTTTCCCTTTCGCTCCCACTGCTTTCTTCCCCCGCCCCACTTGTTCACTCTGTCACCAGAGCTTCTCTTCACCTGCCATCAGGTCAGGCACATTTACTTTATCTGCTGTCTCCTTCACAGCTTGCAGTCATAAACAAGAATATAACAGCTTACTAAAATTCTTCATGAGCAAGCAAATGAAAACCTCAAAAGCCACACCTATGAACAACCAAAGCTGGGCTTTTTCCCTTCAACAATGAGTTTGTATTTTGACACAAAATGCCTAACACTGCTCATTTTCCAGTTGTTTACACCGTGGAGGAAAAGCTTGCTGGAAGCTGGTCAAACTAGGAGTTCACTAAACCATAGAAAACATTGTGGACAGTTCTACCTAAGGATTAAAAACTTTGCCCTTCAATACAGCTTGTCGGGAGAGACTATAAACCCACAAATACCCAGCTTAGAGCATATGTATGTTACACAAGACTAGATAGTGTCTTGCTGCTCTCCCCAAATGCAGGGGCATCAAAATCCAGCACCGCCTACAGGTACCTCAAGTACAACTTGGGATGTAGTGTCATCTTGTAACTGAACAGTAAAAACTATGGGAGTGATGGTTTAATCCCTGAAGGAACCTTCAGCAGGTTGATTGTAAGCCATGTTCATGAAACTATGGCAAAGTATTCAATACTCCAGGCAGAACCGGACATCAGATCCATTAAAGAAATATATCAGGTTCTTCAACTGGTATGAGCTATACTAACCTGAAATTCCTGTAGATTTGAAGAAAAATATAAAGAGTTATAATGAAATGTTTTTACTTGTTTTAAGGGAAGTAAGGCTAAATTTTAAGCTTCTGCTTAGTAGTTGCACTTTCTCCAATTAGACTTTATGAGAGTAGTCAGTCACTGAACCAGGATTCAGTTGTATTGTGTAGTTCCATTGTCAGCA